TACTGATAAGGCGATAGGTTTCCTCATCGACAATCCCATGAAAAATGTGGCATGGCAGAGGACTGGGCTTTTGCAAAATAAAGCCAAGCATATTGTAGCAGTAGAATTCGACTATCTCTCCCTTTATTACTCTATCCGATCTTGGGTTACTGGAACACTTGGTCAAAGTGGAACAAGACATGAAATACTATTTATATAACCTAATGAATGTGCAATAGATCTATGTTAAAAGTGTACAGACAAGTTTCTCTCATTAAATTATGGGTAGGATGTATATATTTTGATGAAAATAAATACATATTTATTTATTACAGAATCAATTACATGCCTTAAATCGGATTACGAAGCTAGAGTTGAGCATTAGAGGCATTGCAAAAAATTCGATTGATAATACATTTTGGAATCAGCTGCGATTGCTTGCAAAGTCATACATTTGACAGATAGAATTCAATACTACGCCCTCAGTTTTAGCAAAAGCAGAGAAAAGGCAAGACGACCTACTTTCCTTGCGACCTCCTCTGTCTATCAACGTCGTGAAAGAGAGGAAAAAACACGAAAATTAGATGCAGATATATCACAAAATAGAAAAAATTGCAGCAAACTTGAAACAATAAACAATAATCCTGAATCATCCAATCGAGGGTATATAGTGCAGATAAGCTGGTGATGATAGCTCTTCATCTGAGTGGCTATTCGGATGGAAAATCTGTCGTGTCAGTATTCAGCATTCACTCCAACAATTTGAGCAGTTTCTCGCAGAACGAATCAAAGAAGAATTCACACCACTTGGTACTCTCGTCTTTTATTATTGGTGGGTTCTACAATATAATAATACGAAGTAGCAGGAAAATGACCTCTCAATGTACAGTCAAATGACAAATATGATCAAACGTTAGACAAAATAATTGACATACAAGTCGGCTTCTCTTACTCTGTCAAGACAGGGCATTTCCTCTTTAGTGAACCTCAGATTATATTTATAGCATTTGGGGTCGTAGAGGGGCTCACAGACCCCAGGATGACTTTCTGCTTCGGGGAGCAATTTTGGCTCTCTCCGATCCCATGTACAGCCTGGAACACCAAGTTCTTCTCCATTCGTTATTCCATCACCGTCACTGTCCATTTTGCACAGCTCCTCTGTCCATACCTGAAGACCGACAAATGTATTTGCAATTTAGCACAAGTTACACATTTCAACTTCCTCCCTCTACAAGAGGATGCTTCGGGGCCTCTTATTTCCTACTTGATGACAGCCGAGCACAAGTTCGACTCGCCAATTTCCAACCTCACCAATGCGTTTGACTATGATAGGGCTAAAGGGGGGTATTGCTGAGGGCCCCACGAGGCCCTGCCATATGCATACGTGAGAGTGGACCATTTGTTGGCATGCCATGCAGAGAATAGACATGTGGATTTCTCCAGATTTATCGCAATGTACCCTTTAAAGTTGAGAGAGAAGATGCGTGCAACCTCTGTTCCATTACGACTTTGATAACCAGACATGAAGAGTAGTTGACTTTTGGCGCCGAGTGCACGAGACGACTGGACCTAGACGGCTCGAAAAAGTGACTTTGCAGCATTGAGTGGGGAAAAGGATGTGAAGAAAGATGTTGACGGAATGAGAATGGGCCTTGCTCGTATTTTTCTCAAATGTTTGCAGATCTGGAGACATGCTAGAAACGGTTGGGTCAGCCTCGAGAGGCAACCAATCCTAGTCTGGTGGGGCCTTGTCCCACCATCGAGTGGCGTGTTAATTTCATGCTAGTTTGGAAAAGGTGTAAATTATGGCTCGAACGAGCAAAATGGTGGCCAAAATGGG